ACGGGTCAAGGCCAATCATTATTAAAGGGGATATTCTGTGCATTCCATTTTTCAGCTCACCAGCTGCTACTGATTACTAAAATGCTTATAATTATTTCATATATTCATATTTCTTTGATAGTTCCTAGATTAATCTAGTCAATAAAAAATTATGTACTCATGATTTAATTAAGAATTTCGTCTTTTGCTAAAAAGTTATTACAAATGTTGATGGAAATGTATTAATTCCACCAACATATTCACCAATGTGGTGTGTGCTTGCTGTTGGCTATTAAGCATGTTCACAGACAGGAGCCTAAGGTAATTATAGTCAAACTGTCCACACTGCGCACTGTAGCACTGTGGTTTGTTTACTCTTAGATGTCCCAGAGAGCTGTAAAAATCCTCCAGCAGGATGTAGTGGACCTTAGCTTACCTGAGATGTGGTCTTTACAGTGTTGACTCAGTATTGCTGTGCGTTAGAAGCGGAATCCCACTGTAGAAATGTAGCCGTGTAATTTTCTTTCTGTGCCCTCTGTTTGTCAGACGCAGTAAATTGCCTCAGGGCCAAACGATTTTCTTGCCCCCAAAGGAATTTCACTCTCTTTCTTCACTGAATTCCAGAGGAGTGAATTTACCCGGGAGCGCAATGCCCAGACACAGGTGTTTCCAGTGGTACTGTTTGTTGGGCAGTATGTGATGCTCGCAGACGAGGGATTTGAGCATTTTGTGCATGCTGCTGACTTCAAATATTCATTCTTATGGGACAATGGTGGATTTTAGTTTTGGGCAAGTTTTGTGCTAAATGCTTTTTTGCCTCTGTCTACTTGGACCTGTAATTTTTGTATTTATGCAGCCTAGCCCAAGCCAAGAAAGACATTTTTCTTGTACATTTAACTGACTAATCAACAGTCTTTATTTTGCAATGCTGCTGTCTACTGAACAAGCGGCACAGTCTTGTAAATATACTGCCAAACATTGCATACATCAGTACTAATAAACAGTATTAGCACAGAAAAAATAGGACCAGGGCTCCTGTAGCTTACCGGCAAGCAGTCTTATAGTGATGATATAAGTAGGGATGTACGATAATATCGGTGGACCGATGTAATATTGGAAAAGATTGTTATCTGATTATTTGCCAATAATGAAAACCGGATAAAACAAGAGCACTCAGAGAGCGCAGCACGTCCGCTACACCAATGCAACTCAGTGCATTAGGTATTTTCGTTGGCTGATTGTTGCATTCCACCGCCAGGTGGCAGCAAAACCCAAAAGCACGCCGATTGGAACTCCGGCCCATTGGACGGATGACGGACGCCACACCACGACAATAGCTTATCGGCCCATAGGGCTGGTAAGCTAAAAAGAAATACTTCAGCTGGTTTGGTTGGTGACACAGTAGCAGGCCCTTTGCTGGTATCATTCATATTCTTCTCAGTTTGTATTTTATCTTTACTCCTCACTGCGACTGTGCGTTCCTGAAAAATTTATCAGCTCAAATCTGCGTGTGACTTTGAAAGTTATTTTTGTTATGACAGCAGGCTTATTATGATTAATTGAAAATGAGCAGTGCGCATCATTCTTATTCCAAATCAGTTCATTCTCTTTTAAATCACCTAAATATAAATATAATTGATAGTCCTTTGAAAGTTGTTTGTTTTGTACTATGAGTGCAGGTGGGGCTGATGCATATCAGGAAGTTGTTCTGAGCTTTGGATTGTTGTATAAAGTTGGAATATTCCTTTTTTATTCAAGATCACATAGTTTTTTAACTGGACCATTTTGGACAAAAATGAATTCCATCCAAGTTTAGATGTGCAGAGCAGGATACAATATTTGTTTAAATTTGTTTTATGATGTTGTTTTGCTCGCTGCCTGCCTTTGGACAATAATTTCCTGTGATTGAGGAGTCAGCATTCTGACATTATCGGCATGTTCATCACCACTTGAGATTTTTGTGTCAACAGTATGGTTGCTGAAATGACAGCATGATTAAACAGTTTTTGAGTCTCTTCTTGGTGTGCTAATTGGGTTCCTGTATCGCAAGTCTGCATTGACAGCCCCTGAGAAGGTTGTAGACGGATGAGGTGTCTGACTTCCTCTGGATTTCGACAGGCAAACCTTCAGAAGCTCTTTTACACCACGGGCAGTTTCTGTTAAACCCGATCAAAGGAGCTAAGGCAGGAAAGTGAACTGAAAATACCTCCTAGCCCTTGGTGGCAGTGGAGAGGAACTGAAAAGGCCTACAGAGAAACACCCTGCCGGCTACAGGAAGAAGCTCAACATAAATCAAGAGCATGATGAAAGAAAAAACATTTCCAAGTAAATGCAATTATTCTGTCTCCAGCACGCTGTGGAACATGCTAGAAACAGCCCTCCAGTAGAAGCACATTCAGTGAAAGACAATGAGCGGAAAAAACAAGAATGCTGCCCTGGGCTACTCTTTTGTGCCTCTACTGACATGCAGACTGATTTTCCCCTGCATAGCAACTGATAGGATATCCTTTGTGGTTTTTTTTTTTTTTTCCTTGTGCCATTTTAGATTATGAGGTAAATGCCCTTCACTGCTTGTGCCCTTTGAGATCAGTTATCATCATCAGGGGATCAGCCAGGTCAGACCCTTAGTAATGTCTGTTCATGGTCCCCCAACTAAATCCCTCCTGAAAGTGGTCATTGTTTGATTGAGACTTCATGCTTTACTTATATCAGGGGTCCTCAATCTTATCCAGAAAGGGCCGGTGTGGGTGCAGGCTTTCATTCCAACCAACCCTGCAAAAAATGTGCTATAGGAATCCTATAGGACAGTTCAATAGAATTCTACAGAACTTTAGTACCTCAAGTCCTATAGAAAAAAAGTTCTATAGAAAATCTCTGGAGGACTGTTTTTTTTTTCAGTTTGGCATCATCAATCCCACCCAAATTTGGAAGGCAACCACAAACAAAGCAACCATTTTATATGACATTTCCCACTTCCCAGCAATCCTTTCCCAACTTGCATCCCTGTAGCACAATGACCACTCGTGTGCTACTCTGACCTGGGCTCAAACCCAGACACTTCTGCTCCGCCATGCAGTGCTTTGACAAAGTGAGCCATTCAGCAGCTTGTACATTCATGGTTGGATAGTGGGAATAAGTCTCAGCAGACCTCAAATTGTATTCAAGTTAATTCTAAATCTGTATATAATCTGCAATCACATGCATGTGAATGGAAAGGAATAATTTGATTGAATTTTTAAAATTAAGGGAAAAGTTCAAAAGGTCAAACTTTCAACAAAATTCTGTCTTCGTAAGCAATAGAGGAGCACGAGTTTTCCATTATAGCATAATAAAGTTGTAATGCCTTACATTTATGTTTTTGAATTGCTGCCAAGGACATGGAAAGAGGTCTTCATATACCGTTAACTGAAATACTGCTAAGTTGGGTGGCCAGTCAGTCAATCAATCGTCTGATCAGATAATCAATGAGTAGGTATGTGCCTGGTACCCCATGTGCTTAAGCACACCTTAAAGTTAAAAGGGACACAATTTCCTTGCTACTTCTGTATCGTGGATATCACTGCATATTGCACATTTTCATACCATTAGTCCAGTTTCTCACTTCTAGAACCCAGGTACACATAAGGTAATTGACCCTTCGACAGAGCATTGCAAGGATTCATAAGATTTATTTTTATTTTTATTTAACCCTTATTTAAGATGTCTTTCCCATTAAGCTTTTGTTCAATTAGAAGGTCCTAAAGACCATCGAAGTCCTATGAACAGGTTTTTCAACTAGGGTGTTCTATAGGAAGGTCTTATAGAACAGCAATAATCTTATAGGACTTTCTTTTCCATAGAGGTGCTCTGTAAGTTTCTAGCAAATTCCTTTAGAACACACGGAAAATCCTCTAGAACATGCTGTTCTACTAAGATGTTCTATAGAGTTCCATTGATGTTCTATAGAGTCCTATAGAATTCTATAGAAGTCCTGTAGAACATTTTTTGCAGGGAAGCAGTAACACACCTGAATCTACTAATCAAGAACTTTAGCAAAAACTTTAGAAGTTGATTATTACAATCAGGTGTGTAACTGCTTAGCTGGAATGAAAGCCTGCTCCCACATCGGCCCTTTCTGGATAAAATTGAGAACCTATGACTTAGGCCAGACCAAGCTAATTTTTCGAAGCACAGATTTTTTTTTTTTTTTTTTTTTTTTTTTTAAATTTGTAGGGTCGGTCGGTCAGAAAAAAATACAAAAAGAAGTGGCTTTATGAATACATTACAAAGTGTCAAAGATGATTGGCAAACAAATCGTAAAGTAATAAGTGATGTTTGTTTAGCCATGAACTGGACTATTTCAATTTAGTTTCAATCATTTTTGTGTTAAATATTGAAAATTTGATGGGGATGTTTACCTCGCCCTCTTTTTGTGATAACTTTCTTCAAATTAATCACATTGATTTCAAACTAAATCCAAAATGTGCATCTTTCAATTCTGCTTCCAACTATGTGCTGCATGAAGGGGTAGCTTTGATAGTCTCTGTAGCGGTTGAGGGTTAAATGGGGGGGTCAAGGTCATAGATGAAAATATATTTTCCATTATAACTCAAAAGTGGTTGCATATAGCCAGATGTTTACCATTATGAGCACAGAGGAACTCCTATATGGGCGCTAATTTCACACCATGACCTTTGACCTTGAGTGACCTTGAAAGGTCAAACTCAAGGTCACGGATTTTCAGAGGGCTATAACTTGAAGACGGTTCATGGTTAACTGATATTTACTATTATCAACATATAGGAAGTCCCATACATGCTTAAATTTGGCAGCTTGATCTTTGACCTTCTGTGACCTTAAATCAAGATTGCAGATTTTCAGAGGGCGGATTAGGTTTGTTTTGCCTGACAGCACTTGTTAATGCTGTTTCTAATGCCGATATTAAATAAAGAAGAAATCAGACAAAGAGAAGAAAGAGGCGCTGATGTAAGAACTGAATCAGGAAGCCCATGCGAACATGCAAACTCCACAAGAGGAGGCTCTGGTCAGCCAGGGCTTGAGCCCGGAACCTGCTTATAGCGAGACAGCAGCGCTAACCACTGTGCCGCCAAGCTAATGTAGATATTTATCAAAGGTGTAGACTGTTTGCGACCCAGGCCATGTTTTTGTACTGCATTAGAAAATACGTATTTTAATAAACTTCGTAGTTTTGACTTTGTTAAGAAATTTTGAAAGCTTAAAATTGAAAGTTTTTAATATTTTATGGTTTTCCTCAAAAACACCTGTCTTTTTTTATTTTACTTTCATTTCACGGGAAATGGGGTCGGTCGGGTCCCTGCTTCGAAAAATTAACTTGGTCTGGCCTTATGTACTTCGAACTGTTATGTTTTACTGTATTTCTTTGGGGTGCTTGCACGGTTCTTCAATAATCGTCTTTAGTGTGCTTATGCACCTATAGCAGTGTTAAATGAATGTGGTAATAATCTATTTGGTTGTAGTCAGCTCTGCTCATAGGTCGCGGCAGGGAACAGACCGTACTTCGATAGAAGCAGCCTCTGTTCCTTGGTGATGCTGTAGCTGTCACTCTTACTCCTATTGCAGCTCAATGAGTCTTTGGAATGGCTGCGTGGAACAGAGTTGAAGGAATACAGTTGTAGATTGTTGGTGCAATTCCCAAGTAAGGAAGTGAGGCGCTGACAATGAACTCTTGAGAGCAAGTTACTTAGTACAATACAATGGCTCAATGAAAATATCTAAAATAAATGACTAAAATGTGCTTCTAAAATAGTGACAGGAGCTGTGACTGCAGATACTGTGTGACCCAGCTGGCCTGTCTGCAGTGAACAGTGAAGAGCTGGCGGTTCTGCGCTGTGAATCCGTCTCTCAGTGTGCTGAAACAGGAAGTGACAGATCATTCGGGCCAGCCTCCACCTGCTGCCAGGGATGATTTTAGTTTGGGATCCACCGTTTGCATTAATGCTTCAGTTTCCCTGTTTACTCAATTTGCCTTTCCCCTTCAGTTTACCCGGGAATCTGCTGCTTGCTGTATCGCTCCAATACTGATGCACCAGTAATGACTGCTCATTGCTCTGAAATAAATGGGCCTGTGATGGAGATTTAGCAGGGATAAAAATCACTGGTCTCACTGTAGTGATATCAGGCATTGGGACATCAATAGCCGCTAGAATACCAATGAGCTTTTAAGTTGGTATTTTTTTGTATTCTGTTCAAAGCTGAATCAATGGCGGTCATGCAGAAAATGGACGCCATCAGATAGAAAAGTATTAAACGCTAATGATTTAGCCCACTCTCCTTAAAACCTCATTATATTCAGCCACCCTCTCTGAATGACTAGCATTTTCAGGTCATTGACTATAGTAGATGGATTTATGCCAGAATCTATAGGTTCTTCATCTTTAAGGAGTTTAATTTTGCATTTTTTGGAATGGGTGGCATTGCTTCTCTTTTTAGTCCAGAAAGGGCGATAGCATCTTTGTCATGCCAGAAAACCGTAAATGTTTTTTAGAAAGATTAAAGCAGCTGACATGGCGGTATCTGCTGCCTATCATTCTGAAATTAGGTCTGTAAGTATTTTCTCATAATTTTGGCTCTTCCTCCAAAACAGATGTGAAATAAAGCAATGAACTTTTGATTGAATTTTAGTCTTTAAGATCGAATTTAAGGATTTGATCAAAAATATTCACTGAAACTTGCGGGCATTACAATCATCTTAATGCTTTTCTCCCAATTTTAAGTGTGCAGAAGTAGTCATGTTTGAAAGTTGATTGCAGATTTTACACAGAAAATGTGGGTTCGTACCCGAGTGATTTCGGCAAGGTTTTCATTGCCGCTGTCTTCAGTTCCTGCTGGTTCTTGAGGCATTTTGTCTTCAGTTTTGCCTTCAGTAAGTGAGGCATGCTCAACTGAGTTCAGGTCAGGTGATCGAGTTGGCTTTTCCACTACTTTGCCTTCAAGAAGTCTAGAGTTTTGATGCATTTGACTGAGTCTCAGCTGATGAAACAGCCTAGAACAATTCCGAATTTTGCTGCTTACAGCATGTCAGCAGTTGTGTCATCGATAAACCGTCGGAAACCGGTTCCACTGACAGCCATACATGTGCACACCACAACACTACCTCCACCATGAGGTTTATGGGCAACACCTTCTCTGTATCATGGTACAAGTAAATCTTTGCATCATGTGTCCATAGGATGTTGCTCATGAATTGTACTTAACATTGGTTTAATTCTTGTGGAAAAGTCTCTGTATTTACTCTGGTGAATTGTCCTCTTGATTTGTTTTTATTAAATGCAGACACCTACCTCAGGCCAAGCATTGCGAAGGGTTTTTTTGTTTTCCTTGACCAGCGAAAGAACTATTTGTCATCCATAGTTGATATCAGTGGTCTTCCTCACCTATTTGAGTTTCTTATTAGGAATGGAAAAGCCAATTCAGCCACACCAAATGTTTTTGCTTTCTGTTTGATGAGATTGTTTTGATTTTTCAGCCTATTGATTGTTTGAATGTCTGGCTGTGGCTGCTCTTTGGACTTCATATTGAGAGCTAACAGCAACAGACTCTAATTGCAAATACCGTAGTTAAAATCAATTCAAGACATTTTATCTGTTTACTTTTAAATTAAATAATGAGAAAATAACACACCTGGCCATGTGACATCTGAGCCCACAGCTCAATTACTTTTGTTCCCTTCAAAAATTGGGGTGTGCACAAAAAGTTTCACAACCTACACCTGACTTGGATGTAAATATCCTTAAATTATACCTGAAAGTCTGCCATTATTTTAGTTATACTCTCCTATAGACAACCAAAATAACAATAACTTTGTCAATGTCCAGATATTTATGGACCTGGCTGTTTGTCTCATTAAGCACTGCAAGAATTAATGTCGCACTGTGACTGTGATTTCGTGCTAAAAGACAATGCCACCTACCATTTAATATTCATATGCTGGTATAACATGCTGGAAAATTCTACAGTTTTTTTTTTTCTTTTTCACCATTTTATTTGCTCTGTTTTAACCTAAAGTACCATTTCAGTTTACGGAGAAGAAACCAACGCCCATCTTCCAACAGCTCTTGTACAGATCTAAGAAAAAAAAACAGGCTGCCTGAACCCATCTCCGGAATTGAGCAGCAGTGAATACACACAGTTTGGCGGAGACATCATTAAGCGCACAGAAGGAATTTTAAAAGCCTGAATGCTTAAACATTAACAGTCCAAACCAAGGAATATTAACAGCTTGTACATATTAGCATTAACAACCTGAAGAGAGAGGATGGGGAGCTGGCAAAACCGACACGAGCATTAACAGGCTGCACATGCAGATTGAATGTTCTCCGCTGTATGGGAGTTTAACTCTGCTCAGGCCAGGGGCTAACACAAAGCCCAGTCTCTCATCTCATAATCTAACTCATGACTCATTACAACAGTCCCGTGGAGACACCACTGCACAATTAATCTAGTCATTTGACTGATCCTTTTAGCTAAAGCAACACACGAAAAGCGCGTCTCTCACGGTATGAGGATAAGAACAAAAAAAGCTTAAATTGCAATCATATATGCTTCAATGACAAGATGCTTGTCAGAGGACCTTTGAGGAAAAGAAACATAGAGTGTTCAGTGGTATTATATATGCTTCATGGGGAGAAATATAAGATTACATACTCACATTGAGGTATTTTTTTGAAATGTTTGAAAAGACCTTGGCTGAAGCACAGTTGTGTGCAAAAAGAATTTGACCTTCCTTGATTTGTTCTATTTTTGGTTATTTGTCATGTTTAAATGTCTCAGATCAACCAACTAACTTTGATATTTGACAAAGACAAGGTGTGTAAACACAAAATACAGCTTAAAAATTATAATTTAATTTATTGAAGGTGAAAAGTTAATATTGAAAACCTATATCACCCTTGTGAAAAAATAATTGCCCCCGTAAACCTAATGATTGCTTTTGCCACCCTTGGCAGCAGCTACTGCAAATAAATGTTTACGATAAGTGGCAATGTGTTTTTTACAACCCCATTCCTGAAAAAGTTGGGACGTCATGTAAAATGTAAAAAAAAAAAAACAGAATGAAATGATTTGCAAATCAGTTAAGATCCATAATTAATTTAAAATAGTACAAAGACGAAATATTGAATGTTCAAAGTGAGAAATTTAATCTTTTTTTTTTTTGAAAAATATATACTCATTTTGTATTTGATGCCTGCAGCACATTTCAGTAAAGTTGGGATAGTTGCCACAACAGACTGGAAAAGATGTACGATGCTAAGAATAGTACATCGGGTGAAACATCTCACCGCTAATTAAGTCAGTTGGCAACAGGTCAGTCACATGATTTGGGCTGAAAAGTCTATCAGAACTAAAGATGGTGAGGGCTTCATCATTCTGAAAGGTTTCATGGGCAAATAGTTCAACCATTTTAGAATTACGTTTCTCACCGTAAAATTTCAAAGAACTTGGGGTTGCATATTGGTGTGGAGGAAATTTGGACATTTGAGCCATTCAGAGGTGAACTTGCTTTTTCGCTGCGGATTGTTGTCCTGAGGCATAATCCAACTGCGCTTGTACATTAAGTCATTGACTGATTGCCGGACACTCTCCTTCAGGATTTTCTGCCAGAGAGCAAATTCATGTTTCTGGTAATCATGCCTGGGTGTTTCTAGTGCAGGGCTTCTCAAACCTCTCCTGGAGGACCACCTGTCCTGCATCTTGTAGATCTCTCCCTGCTCCAGCACAGGTAAGTCAAATGATCAGCTCATTATAAACCCATGAAGATGCTTAATAATAAGCAAATCATTTGAATCACCTGTACAGAGGCGGGGAGAGATCTAAAACATGCAGGAGAGGTGGCACTCCTGGAGAGGTTTGAGAAGCACTGGTTTAGTGAAATGGAACACATGTATCTTTTACATACGTTCAGTTGGTTAATTTTGTAACTAAGGGGACGAGTACTTTTTTTAGATAGGGCCAGATAGGGTTGGATAGCCTTTTTTCCTTTTGATAGCTGAAATCATCATTTAAAAAGTGCATTTTTTTTTTTTTTTTTTTTTACTCGAATCATCTGTTTCACATATTACATTTAGTTTGATG